ATATCTCTATCGGGAATTGCAATTCAGAGCTAATTTTTGGGATGAGGGCATCTTTTAGGATCCTCTGTAAGAATATGACATCATATCCCATAATTTCAAAAATTTTATTTTTGTGACGTAATCACTTTAGGACTCTATACGCATGCTTGGGTATGTAGCAGACTTCTTTGAACTAGAAATAGCGATAACAATGCTAGTCTTAATTCAATTGATCTGCCGCACGCTCTTAAACAGATATAAACTGCATGAGCCCACAGAGGAACTCCGAGACCCCACGGATTCAACAGACAAGCATAATAACAACGAAAATGTGCTATTAATTTCTATATTACGTGATCTGAAAGTTTTCAGCCGAACATAACAACTGTCTTCAAACATTATCAAGCATTTGCCAACTGAAGATTTCGAATCTCACCTGAAGAACAAAATGAATTGGCTCTTGTTATCAGAGAAGACAAAGCGAAGAAAACACAATATAGGAAAATTGAAGGCATGATCGATCCCCCGGCAACACGAGCAAAATCGGAAAATAGTCACTTTTCCAATTGACCTGTAAAAAGCAAATGCATTCGTGGTTTACAGTTGCGAAACATATAGTTAGACTTGTTCGTATGTAAATACTTTTCCCACTTACGTAGGTTAAACTTAGCCAATCATTATCACTGATAATGTTTCAATTCTCGTTTAGAAAAGAACTGTCCAGTTTTCTGACCGGTAATTTAAATAAAACAAAATGAATGTTTTTACTGGTGACAATTCATTAAATATCAAGAGACGTCATGAAAACGAATTGGTACAATGTGATAGCAATATCAAGTGTTACAGGTGATGTTAATAACTTTCTTTTTGTCAATTTATCTCATCGGGGGTGAAGACTAATGTACCGCCATGGTTATTTTCAGCGTTATCCCTCAGCGCCGACCTTAAAATTTGGTCAGAGTCGGGTTCTTAATCTTCTCTCAACTTATAATCAACCCTTTCATCACTGTCCAATTTGTATTCAACGTTCCTCTCATAGTTTCGAGGAAATTACAAAGTCAGCCGTCCTGATGGCTTTCACACAAACCGTGGCACGTGTTTCGCCTAAATTTCGCCGGAATGTAGGCCAAACAGGTTTGAATTCTATGCTGAGCGGCAACCAAGGCCCTACGAAACTTATGATTAGAATTTCGCAATCCCACTGCGTTAAAAAAAAACGATAAACCGTTTCCTGGTACTACACCCGTTATTTGCCAGATTATAGCCCTTTTAAGTGCACTCTCGGAAATCGATATTGTTCAGTATGGCTTCTTTCTATCGTTATCCCTCGGTGAGACTTAACAATTTGTTCAAAGTCGGTTCTTAGTCTTCTCTCAACTTATAATCAACTCTGAAAGTAGTATCACATTCGCATTTAACGTTCTTCTCGGGCGAGAGCTCCATAGCCTCTTAAACGTTTCGCCGCCCACGATCGATGTGAGTTCTTATGGTTTCCCCGATTAATTTCATAAACGCCCAGACGGATAACCTTGAACTTGCAGGTTATCATTCTTTTTCAAAGGAAGCAATTGTGAGTCTTTAAGGTGTTGAACTTTGATAATTTTCCATGCGGAGAAGTCGCATTTAGCGAGACATTGTGTAATACAGCTGGGTATTTTAATCGCTTGTAATCATATAAGTCTATAGCTTTCGAGCCTGCTAAGTAAGATATCTCACCTTATATAAAATTTTCCGCGTCAAAATTGTTATTTAAGAAGTTTACAATAAAGGCTTCTATTATTCTACGAAATTCTTTACAATGTCTTTTCAAAGGCGATAATAAAGTGAATTTACCGTATTTTATTGTCTATCAAGATGCAAACAAAAATGTTTTTCGGTAACTTCCAGCCTTGAGTATATCCTTAGCTTCTTGAATTTAGTTTTCAATGGTAAACGGATTTTTTTCTTATACAGATAACTTCCAATTCGATTGATAACGTCGATAGTCGAATTTGCTTCTAAGCATAACATTCTTCCAGTGTTTTTTCTTTGAACGGCCGGGATGCATTTTAGTACAGACCAGCACTTACTTATTCCAAGCCGAGAAAAGAATTAAGAAAGAAAGAAAAAAAATGAATCCTAGACTTTTCTCGCGGTAACTCTACTAGGAGAGTTAGTTTGCAGCCTGCGAGTAAAGCTGTTGACAGGCAAGTCACCTGGCCTGCGAGTAAACAAAACATTGAAGTGTGGCATGCTTCTGCTAAACGTATCTACGTGATGTTGAAAGATTATAGGCTGCTCAAAGATGAATTGGTCTACCACAGGACCAATGTTGTTCTAATAAGATTGCTATACTTTCGACGAGATAGTCTATACTTAATATGGGCTATCTCCTTAAACGAAAGTCAAGAGTCTGAGCGAGAGTGGCCTCCTTCTTGTTTCGTTTGGCAGGATACTTTATTCCATATTGTCATTCCCAGCGAAACTGCAGCGGTACTCGGTAGTTTCTGTAATACTCATTCCGCTTTATAAAGATATTAATAGTCGCTTACACATCGGAGATCTCAATCAAGCGTCAGCATTGCATGTTTCGAAAGACGCGTCCGGCACGTCATGCATGTCACAAAGTAAGATTTTTTTGTCTGAGAGTTTGTTAAGAGAAGAGGTTTTAGAAGAAAACAAACCTCGTCGAAAGGGGAATCTTGTTCAGTGTATTATTTCAGCAATAGATTGAAACATATTTTCGTAATACTTCATCTGCCTTTAAATATTTGTTTGACGCTTTAAAAGTTGAATATTAATGTTATCAAGCAATTAGCGAGAATCTAACCCGTGCAATCTTTTATACAGAGACTCTCACACTAACGAAACGGCGAAACACTTGTAGTTGAAATCATACAGAATACATGCGTTGGTGGGTAGCAGGCTTCTTTGAACTAGAAAAAGGGATTTACAATACCTTCCTAATTCACTTTATCTTCGTCATGCATTGAAACAGGTATTAAGAGAGCCCGCCGAGGGGCTCCGAGAGATTCTACCGATGTTTTTGCCTGAGTATAGCATTGATAATTTCCCGGTCAAAATTAACGGAAAACAAAACATTTCTCTTGTAGGTAAGGGATTATCGTTTGGCATTTCTTTATAACTTGTCTCTAAACCGCACTTAAAAAAAAAGCACTTACATGTATGTCTTCAAACATTAGAATTAAGAATTATTCAGTTAATTAAGATCTAGCATCTAACCTGAAGAACAATTAGCCCTTGTTATCAGAGAGGACAGCAAGATGAAAACGCATTGAGAGGAAACGGTAGGCATGATTCATCCCTAACACGAGGAAGGTCGGTAAATTGTCAAGTTTCAAAGAAAACGATATGTTTGTGGTTTAGAACTGTAAAACATAAGTGGCAACTTTTAACTCGTTCGTGAATTAGTTTCCACCTACGTAGGTTTTAATTTAGCCAATAATTATCAGTTAGCTAATAATATCTTAATTCTCATTGGCAACATAGACAAAGAGCTGTCTACTGTTGTGGTTGGTTGGCTGAATAAAGCAAAAATAAGCATCGTCATAAGCTGGAGATAATTCATTAAATATTAAGAGATGCACCGTTATTCAAATTTTGTAAAATGTGTTATTAAGAGTGAATGTCGGTAAGAATCGAAGAAAATTGAAAAATGTAGCCACAAGGACAAAAACACCGATGGTGTAAACAACACTCCTGTACGTTTTGAAATTCGTCTTTGATTCTAACGATTCCCTTGAAACCAAAATAACAAATATAGAAATTAATAAATACGAACTTAAACTTAAATAAACCGAAAATGCAACAATACGAAAAGTAACAAAAAATAGAAAGGGAAAACGAGATTACTTACAAGATTCTGTACGACACTCCGGAACTAACAACGACTGAATACAACTCGTATTTAACGTTCCTCTCGGGCGAGAGTTCCATAGCCTCCTAAAAGTTTCGTCGCCAACGATCGATGTGAGTTCTTATGGTTTCCCCGATTAATTTCATGAACGCCCGGGCGGATAACCTTGAACTTGCAGGTTATCATTCTTTTTCAAAGGAAGCAATTGTGAGTCTTTAAGGTGTTGAACTTTGATAATTTTCCATGCGGAGAAGTCGCATTTAGCGAGACATTGTATAATACAGCTGGGTATTTTAATCGCTTGTAAAATATAAGTCCATAGCTTTCGAGCCTGCTAAGTAAGACATCTCACCGTGTATAAAATTTTCCGCGTCAAAATTATGATTTAAGAAGTTTACAATGAAGGCTTCTATTATTCTACGAAATTCTTTACGATGTCTTTTCAAAGGCGATAATAAAGTGAATTTACCGTATATTATTGTCTATCAAGATGCAAACAAAAATGTTTTTGGGTAATTTCTAGTCTTGAGTATATCCTTAGCTTCTTGAATTTAGTTTTCAATGATAAACGGATTTTTTTCTTATACAGATAACTCAGTTCCAATTTGATTGATAACGTCGATAGTCGAAGTTGCTTCTAAGCATAACATTCTTCCAGCGTTCTCTCTTTGAACTGCCGAGATGCATCATGTTTAGTACAGACCAGCACTTATTTATTCCAAGTCGAGAGAAGAATTATGAAAAAAAATGAATCCTAGACTTATCTCGCGGTAACTCTACTAGGAGAGTTAGTTTGCAGCCTGCGAATAAAGCTGTTGGTAGGCAAGTCACCTGGCCTGCGAGTAAACAAAACATTGAAGTGTGGCATGCTTCTGCCAAACGTATCTACGTGACGTTGAAAGATTATAGGCTGCTCAAAGATGAATTGGTCTACCACAGGACCAATGTTGTTTTAATAAGACTGCTATACTTTCGACGAGATAGTCTATACTTAATATGGGCTATCTCCTTAAACGAAAGTCAAGAGTCTGAGCGAGAGTGGCCTCCTTCTTGTTTCGTTTGGCAGGATACTTTATTCCATATTGTCATTCCCAGCGAAACTGCAGCGGTACTCGGTAGTTTCTGTAATACTCATTCCGCTTTATAAAGATATTAATAGTCGCTTACACATCGGAGATCTCAATCAAGCGTCAGCATTGCATGTTTCGAAAGACGCGTCCGGCACGTCATGCATGTCACAAAGTAAGATTTTTTTGTCTGAGAGTTTGTTAAGAGAAGAGGTTTTAGAAGAAAACAAACCTCGTCGAAAAGGGAATCTTCTTCAGTGTATTATATTGAAATATTTTTTCGTAATAGTTCAACTGCCTTTAAATATTTGTTTGACGTTTTAAAAGTTAAATATTAATGTTATCAAGCAGTTAGCGAGGATCTAACCCGTGCATTCTTTTATACAGAGACTCTCACACTAACGAAACGGCGAAACACTTGCAGTAGAAACCGTACAGTATACATGCTTTGGTGGGTAGCAGGCTTCTTTGCACTAGAAAAAGGATTTACAATACTTTCCTGATTCCCTTAATCTTCGTCATGCATTGAAACGGGTATTAAGAGAGCCCGCCGAGAGACTCCGAGAGATTCTAACGATGTTTGTCTGAGTAAATAGCATTGATAATTTCCCAGTCAAAATGAACAGAAAACAAAACATTTCTCTCGTAGGTAAGGGATTATCGTTTGGCATTTCTTTATAACTTGTCTCTAAACCGTACCTAAAAAAAAAGCACCTAGCATCTAAAGATCTAGCCTCTAACCTGAAGAACAATTAGCCCTTGTTATCAGAGAGGACAGCAAGATGAAAACGCATTGAGAGGAAACNGTCAGCATTGCATGTTTCGAAAGACGCGTCCGGCACGTCATGCATGTCACAAAGTAAGATTTTTTTGTCTGAGAGTTTGTTAAGAGAAGAGGTTTTAGAAGAAAACAAACCTCGTCGAAAGGGGAATCTTGTTCAGTGTATTATTTCAGCAATAGATTGAAACATATTTTCGTAATACTTCATCTGCCTTTAAATATTTGTTTGACGCTTTAAAAGTTGAATATTAATGTTATCAAGCAATTAGCGAGAATCTAACCCGTGCAATCTTTTATACAGAGACTCTCACACTAACGAAACGGCGAAACACTTGTAGTTGAAATCATACAGAATACATGCGTTGGTGGGTAGCAGGCTTCTTTGAACTAGAAAAAGGGATTTACAATACCTTCCTAATTCACTTTATCTTCGTCATGCATTGAAACAGGTATTAAGAGAGCCCGCCGAGGGGCTCCGAGAGATTCTACCGATGTTTTTGCCTGAGTATAGCATTGATAATTTCCCGGTCAAAATTAACGGAAAACAAAACATTTCTCTTGTAGGTAAGGGATTATCGTTTGGCATTTCTTTATAACTTGTCTCTAAACCGCACTTAAAAAAAAAGCACTTACATGTATGTCTTCAAACATTAGAATTAAGAATTATTCAGTTAATTAAGATCTAGCATCTAACCTGAAGAACAATTAGCCCTTGTTATCAGAGAGGACAGCAAGATGAAAACGCATTGAGAGGAAACGGTAGGCATGATTCATCCCTAACACGAGGAAGGTCGGTAAATTGTCAAGTTTCAAAGAAAACGATATGTTTGTGGTTTAGAACTGTAAAACATAAGTGGCAACTTTTAACTCGTTCGTGAATTAGTTTCCACCTACGTAGGTTTTATTTTTGCCAATAATTATCAGTTAGCTAATAATATCTTAATTCTCATTGGCAACATAGACAAAGAGCTGTCTACTGTTGTGGTTGGTTGGCTGGATAAAGTAAAAATGAGCATCGTCATAAGCTGGAGATAAGTCATTAAATATTAAGAGATGTACCGTTATTTAAATTTTGTAAAATGTGTTGTTAAGAGTGAATGTCGGTAAGAATCGAAGAAAATTAAAAAAATGTAGCCACAAGGACCCAAAAACCGGTGGTATCTCAAATCTGCTGATAATTTGAAAATCAAAGAGATTTAAGAGCCTACTTCTGAATGGCTCTTGCCTTGCTATACGGGTTAGCGGTTAGGTTGCGTTCTGACTTTTGAGTGCTATATATGGTAAGCCCACAACACCATGAGCACCCATTATGATGTGCACCTCACTTTAGTCAAGGAGGAACTCTTTGGGACGAGGGAGTTATTTTATCACAGCTTACTACAGTTATGAAATTCTTTGTTTGGCTTTTTGTTCTCTTCATTGCTTTTAAAGTATCGATATTTAACCAAAGCTGTAACACGAATCTCTAGCAAACCGGGACGATAATTATTAACTTTTTTCTTAAAAAGGAAAACTGCTTTTTGAACCAAAAAAAGATTTCGTATTAATAAAAACGTGACATT